TACATATGAGCCATTATGCTTAATGGCCTTTTCATTTGATCCTGAATATTGAAGCACTTTGTAAAGTCTGTTTCTCTATAGATGAATCATTTATCATTTGTCTGGCATTTAATAATGATCAGTGAGATATTACAGTGATGATGGTTTACTGCTACACGTGATGAATTAGTGGTTCAGGTGCTATAAATAGCCAAAGCCATGCGTAAGAGTGCATATGAGTTTGTTTTGTTAGATTTATAAAGTCACACATACTCTTGATATATTTTGTAAATCTCAGTCATTGTTGAAACATGTGCATGAGCTTCAGTTCCACTTCCACAATAGACCCTTTTCACAGCAGACGTTTTGCACCCAGTAAGACATGACAGTGGGACTGGGAGCTCACAGTAACAATACCAGGTACTTGGAGCAGGAGCAGGTAGATGATAATGAGTGCTTGGTTGTACGAGGTTGATTTATCTGATATAATAAATGACCAAAAGTACCAATGTTATCCTTAAACAGACTTAGTGAGTGGCTACACCCTGTGGCGGCTGTGGCTTGGGGGGTAGAGCTTGGTGTCCTCTAACCATAAGGTCAACAGTTCGATCTGTGTCTTCCCTTTACAGCATGCTGAAGTGTCATTGGGCAAAATACTGAGCCCCAAAATTCCCCCTCTACTCTACTCATCAAGTCATCAAGACTAGAAAAGCGCTATATAGTTGTATTTACCAAACACGTGGGAGATAATGTCTTCTTTCCCCAGTGATGGTCCCACAAATGAAACAAGAGGATGGCACAGAAGCCTTTTTAGTGTCAATAACTCACTGTTCCAGGATAAGGCTCAGTAATGAAGCGCTGCATTTCAAAATCTAATAGACACTTCTAAGATACTTCTTCTTGCACTAGTGTCAGCACTTTTGCTCTTTTGGCCACAGCAGAAACGAGATAAAAATTTTATGAAAGCTCCTCGCATGAGGAGTTGCGCTGCAACTTCATTAAAACCAATCCAGAGACGCTATGCAAATGAAGAGAACACAGGGTTCTCATGAGATACTGTATATAATCCACAAGGCCGATTCCAAAAGCTTTTTAAAGTGCCATTTATTTATGCACCCAATTATTAACATAGGGCCCATGTTGAAAAACTACCAGATGTCCCCTTTACTGTGCAAAATGCAGAACTGCTCAATTCACTTGTTCCACCTCATACATAAAATGATTGTTTTATATCTCTGAATAAAATCATTGGGTTTTTAGAGTGTTGAGACAAAACAATAATTTGAAGCCAAAATCTTGAGCTCTGGGAAAAATACTGAGATATTTGTTCACGATTCTAAAGCTGATACTCACAGTTGCAGTGATAGACTTACTTTATCATTAGAGCAAAAAAAATGTTTATTTGGATTCCAAATGAATTGTTTTTGTTCGGCGCTGGAGATGAATTGGAACAGTCTTCCCTGACACATGAAAGCAAAACATAATCACATCGACAATGCATCACAGATAAGATGCACCACTGTGACTCTCAGGAGATAGAGGAGCGAATTGATTGTGGGCTGAATGAAAGCAATGGGTTCATGGCTTGGGGGACAGCGTGTCTCTCTGGCATTTAGTGATGGATACCTTTGAGGCTGTGGAGACATTAACCAAACGTACTATGATGCCATATTGTCAGAAACATGGATGCTCCCTGTTCTCACTTCTAAACCGTGCATGTTGACAGTCAACTCACTTTGGTTTTAAGGTTACATATACTGGATGTATTTGTGCAACAGCTTCATATATAATAGCTTCTCCTGCAAACGTAATTACAAGCACTCCCTCGGCTCTGTTCTTTCCCTCTGACATACTGAGAAGCTTTACATAAACAATGGGAGATAAATACATGTTATCTAAGTCCGACAGAGGCTGCATAATTGGCATCTATGTTTTATAACAATAATCATTTGAATTTCAAATCAAATGTTTTGTGCATATACACCGCTGACACTTAGCATTGAACAGTGAATTCAAATGTCATCAATGCATGAAAATATACACAGTATTTAAAATGGAATATAATGTACACAGATCAGCCACATTGAAACCACTTACCCATTCGAGGGTTGGTTTTGGTGTTTTGTGTATATATAAAGAGCATACATTGTAAGCTATAATACTTAGCCTAGGCTAATGTAAGATGCTACTTTATATACAGTCTAATGTATTTATAACCTGTTTTATTATCATCCTACTCTGATCAGCCACATTAAAACAAGCAAACTGTTCTAATGTTGTGTCTGATGTTGGGGATTCTAATGGTTATTTATTTGTAAAAACAGGGCCCAACTGAGAGTTTGTACTACATTGGAAGAAATTGGTGTGCCTGACAACACCAAAAACGACATTTTTAAGGCAACACTGACCTTGACCTTTGACCTCCAAACCTCCTAACCCTAACCCTCTAATCAGTTTACCCGTAGTGAATATTTATACAAAAATAAAAATATACATTTAAGGTTTTCTTGAGATATCATGTTCACAAGACGGACAGACAACCCGAAAACATGGCCACTGGTTGTCACCTGCGCAGAGGAATAATAATAAATAGGGTTGTGTCATGTAGATATTTGCGACCACATGTATTTGGTAACTAAGTAGAGGCTTTTTTGTGAGGGCAAAATACAGCAAAATATGAGCATGAACGTTTATTTTTTTCTGAACATATTAATGATGCTTTGATTAGTTTAAAATGTGTGACAAGATTCTTATAAAAGTCTATAAGTGTTTCAGTGGCTGCAAAAAACTGTTTTATTATACAAGTTTTATCGGCTAATATTTCTTCTGATGCTCCCATCATCAAACACTCAGCCAACACAGTAAAAAACGATTTTCTTTTTTTGAGGAGCTCCTCCCCTCTGCTGCTTTCTATATGATCCCTCCCTACAGTGTAGTTTTTTAAGGTAATATTGATCCAATCAATATGTGCAGAGGTCAGCATTTCCTCAAATATTATTAAAGGTGCTTCTTTTGAAAGCCAGACTGTAAAAATAGTTCAGCTTTTAAACTTTTCACCCTTTGATGCTTTCATTGTGCCCTGATGAATGGGTCACTGTTATGTAGGACTATGTGCAGTGAGCGGCTCAGTGGAGCAAAACATCACTAATGCATCAGCTGCAGAAAGGTTATTGATTTGTATTTTTTGTGGAAGAAAAAAAAACCCGGAGGGATTATCAATGTCACTGGAAATTTAACAAGGTATACAGTCCTGACTCCTCCCAGCATTCTCTCTGGATCTCCTCAGGTCCTTTCCACAAATGTACAGCTATATTTTAAAGTGCAAACAAATGGCTTGTTTTATAGGGAGATGTGACTCTACTGGATGTAAAGAGGGATGAGTTCCTGCACATGGTCGTCTGCTCAGGACAGTGCACTCCCATTACAGAAGAGATATATGCTCAGATTGAAATTAATCCAGTGTGAAATCAAAAGTCCAGTGTTGGACCTCGGGGAAGCCCACAGAGGACACTCATGATTCTGAGCACCGCAGCTTTGTTCCATCAGTGCTCACTGCTCTGCAGGCAACATTGTGCATGCGTCTGCATGACAAAACATGCCCTTTCATAGATGCAACCACATGACAGTGCTGCAGTTACTGTAACTTGTGTTGCATTCAAACTACTTCACATCAAATACACTGACATTTCCATTCTGATCAGTTTTTGTTCCATGCAAACAAAAGCCCTCAGAGATATATTAGCCTGCACAAAGGATGACAAGTTCTGCCTTCCACAGCTTCAGACTCGTTTTCTCTTTGACGGCCGGGTTCAGCCTCATGCCCCGCAGACCCATCGTAGATGAATCTGGACAAGGTCAGGGCGTGCCATCTTTCTGTAGCCTATGAGCTACTATTGGCGGTTAAGGCGTTTCAATATGTCAAGCAACAACATCTTGGAGACTACTGTCTCATTAGCACTACAGCTCTATTGTCTCATTCACAACAGAAAATGCAATCAAAGTCATTAAATGAAGACAGAATATCACAGCCCTGAGGGTTGAAGCAAAACACAGGCTGAAATGTGCTGTACCTTATTGTTGGGACTGGAGGGTCTTTAGCTGAGGTCGGAGAAGAAGCAGGCTCCAAGAGGAAGAAATCCTACAACACAAAGATGACTCATCAGGTTCACTTATCTAACACAGCAAATGTCTTCAGACTGAATTTAGATTTAGGGCCTACAAAAGCCCCATCTAGGGATTTTTGATCTGCAAATATGAACATTCTTATGGTGCTTTGATAATATGTTTCATTGTCTTCAAAACTGCTTATTGCCCTGACAACTATTTGGAAAATCAATTAGCGTTTTTCGAGGCACATCTTGAGAGATAAAATATTTCAATTAAAAACCATAGATTAGATTAGGAAAATGCTTCCTGAGGCAATAAGACTCCAGGAAACCACATCATGAATCAGCAGAAACATTTCCCCACACAAAATAACTTTTGGATATTGTTCAGGCAAGCTTCACTGTGTACATTAAAAAAAACGAAAAAAAACAGGGAGGTCTCTAAACTGTTATTTTGTCTTTTTAATTATGTTTTAATACCTGGGCTTGATATTCAGACATTAGAGTGAGACCCAACAGACCTTCAACAAGAGAAGCTAACGTCAATATCAATAGATGCTTAAACAAAATACTGCAGAGGTCTATACTGCAGTTTCAGGGCAAACATCCCACTGACAGTACAAAACTGACCCTAATTTCGGCCACCATTGCACTCTGTCATTAAATATTACAGCCTTCATCAATTGCAGCCGAGTGTGACGCAGGCCTAACAGTAAACTACAGTGTCCGTCTGACACGAGCAGAAATATCGGCCTGATTATTTCCTGAGGACAGCTGCTGCTGCTGTGGTTCATTTGGACCTTCTACACCATAAAGGGTATTATCTGTTATTTACAATCTTTTCCTACTCTCTTCTGTGATTTTTTTCTGATCTGATTACATCTGAATGCTTCTAGTAACCGGTGTGAATGAGCCGTGCTGATAGCTGAGTCACAATATGCTGGACGAAAGACTTTCACTGTGACCACTGGTGGTTAGCATTTCAAAAGAGTGCAAATGTAATGTTCAATTGTCATATTTCTTTTGTAATGACATAATGCATTGTTATAAGAAAAGATGCAATCATTTAATTACATAAATACTGTTGACTGAAAAATAAAAATGTATTATTTAAGTGTACAGCACCGTTTTATGAAAATTCCCACTGACCTGTGGTATATTTCTTCTAGCTAACATTTTTTAAATTATAGACATTGAGTTTCTGCTATACTTATATAGATGCCTGCCTCGTTTAATGTGTATCAGTGTAGTGAGTCCACCATTAGAGATGTGGAGCCCCACAACATTTGTCAAGCAGTGGGTCAGTGGCAGAGGTCAGAGAGCATGTCGCTTGTAGAGAGAGAGACAGGAGGAAGCTGCTCAGAGTCCTATTTGAAAGATAATGAATTCCATTGTTTGCCTCGCTCACTTGTTCTCACACACACGCACAAACACACAAGAAAAAAGAATTAACTGTGTAGCTACTACATGTGAATAAACTGCTTTAAAAGATTTTGAGCACTGACAGTAAAAAGATTTGGAGCACTGACAGTAATATGTGCACAAAGGCTTTTCCTCATTGAAACCTAATTTAACCTGTGTGTGTCACAGAGCTGCAATTGATCAGCGACCCTCACCTCACCTCACCACTTCATAAAGCTGCAGCTCCCCAGTGGCTTCTGATGAAGGCTAAATGTCTGACCTCATTCGCTCCTTACATCATTTTGTGCTCCGCCACTGGGTTCATCTTTCACTAGCCAGAAGTCAGCTGTGGTGGCCATATGTTTATGTGCATATACTGCACTGTTCTACTATGGCAATATTTGCAAAGGTCCATCTTTGATATGAGAAAGACATATTGAAATCAAATGGGGCCACAAAGTCATGCCTGAAGCATAACCAAATCTAAAGTGGCAGTAATGAAGCTTTTTTGACCACAGTGATATTCAAAAACAGCATAAACAAGACCAAGATCTATATCCTCAGTGTTTGTGAGCACCACTTCTAACACACACTGCAATAAGAACTTGAATTAAAGGTAAAAGTACAGATCACTACATGTTTGTTCCCTCTTATAAGAGGCCACAATGCACTGGATGTGCATTGCATTTCACAGAGAGAGCAGTTGTTATGACAAGCTCTGCCTGCCTGCCGAGGATTGTAAAACATTTACGGATGTTTTAAAAGTCCAGTGGGCAATGTGATTTCTCCAGGTGCTGCCAATGGCCATTTTGACTGACAGACAAGTCAATGTTATTGTGTGAGAGAGTGGAAGGGGGGCAAATAGCGCAGCACCCAACTTTTACAAGGTAGTAGAGACATTTAACATGATTGTTAGGCCTTGATGAAATGTACAACAAATACTCAACAGAATACTAGAATACTTAGTATCTAGTGTTGAAATGTTTGACTCATGTCATTAACTCTGTCAATATTGTATTGATCCTTGCAATTGTGCATAGCTCTTTTATGTGCTCTAAATTTTAGAGGGTCATCTGAGGCAGAAAGAAGAAATAAAAACTTTCTACTGACTGAGCAGCGATTAGTGACTGTGCAGAGCCTCACAGCAGAGTCTGACTGCAGGCTTGGTTTGCCCGTGTGTATGAGCTAAACTCTTGATTGTGGCTCATGCTGTTTTGATTTCTCAGGGCATGGGTTGTGCTAACAGTAACAGAAAGTTCTAACCTGGAGGCCTGAATGCAGCAGGGGCTCACTGAGGAAACATTAGCCCAGCTTCCCTGTGACACATAAGCATTAGCCTAGCTTTCCTTTGTCTGAGCCAGCCAGATCTAAATGTTTTAACTAGAGGCCAAACAGTGTCTCTGCTGCTCCTCACCCGCTTCTCTATCTCCCATCATCTCTGCTGCTTACCCCGTTAACCTGCTGATGTCTCTCATTTACTACTCTAACTAACTGCTTTCCCATAAAGCCTGTGCATCATCTTGTTTTATCCATCTGATTTATTTCCGTCTTTCTGCTAACACTGATCACTCCACATCCTGCTTTGATCTGACCGACCAGGCTGCTTTGTAAATCAACAGCGAAAAACGGTTGCCTCTTTTCTCTTCATGCTCATATTCCAAAAGGCATTAAGCAAACAGTGACAACTTCACTGAGATATCGATAAGAAGAAGTCTATTTTCAGATAAACAAATATGAGATCATACTCTTTTTTCTTTGCTCTCTCCTGCATGCTGTCATTCTTTTTTATTTCCCAGTTGGGCCGTCTATAAAGGTAGTCTGACTCAGGGTGTGCGGCAAGGGAGTTGTGCCCCATAATCCACTTGGATGTGGAGTATTTACCCACTGGTCCTCTCCTCTCTGGTATCAGTGACAGGAGTGGAGCCTCAGCTGGGGTGCTGAAAGGTAACCAGTTGGCAAGAGCCAAATTGGTGGGTCATGGCTAGGTGAAGCGGGTGATAAAACCAGCCAGGCACTGGATGAGATACACAAGGACGGTCATCTTTCAAAGTGTTTTGGAAAAGCACAGAGGGAGAAGCTCGAGGGTGAACTCTTTGTGTCAGGGTGTGATTAAATTAAGGGGCAGCTGAGAAACAAGTGCAAAGGACTTGGTCGATACTTCATATCACTCAACAGCTATTTATCAGCTTCTCTATTTACAGAAGTGACTCCTACTCACCCGCCTCACATATTTTCATGCACACACAGAACAATTTAAGGTCACTGGGATGCAGTTATACAGGGTCCTCTACGTTCCCACTGTGCAACTACCTTGTAATTATAACACTTCCATGTCAGCAAAGCTCATTTCTTCAACACACAGTGCTTAATTTGTTCCGGCAGAGCATGAGCAAGGGTCAGAGTTAACACTTAATGTTCCCTCATTCTTTCTGTTGTAGAATTAGTCATCTCTATCGTGGAAGAATAGCTCACTGGTCACTGTTATAGTGTAAGAGAAGCTAACTCTAGGGGGAATACTCAAGACTCACTTTAGTTCAGCTGTGCTCCAAGTGCCACTTTCCTGCTCTACTTCCTGCTCCACTTTGTGTCCCCTATGTAAGTTATGATGTTCTGGCATACTTTACTTCTTTAACTGGTCCATCGCTGCTGACAAACTTTCTGTAGGAAAAACAAATTATTAGCAAAAGGGGGTTTGGTCATCTCAGAATTGGCTAAAATTTTTTTTATAATTATACTGTAATATTAGGTCATTGCAAACACCAACACAACGTCTTTCCCTTTCATACTCGCAATTGAGGCACAGTGACTCTGCTGTCTTCTCCTAAATGAGAGGTGTCGCCCCTGAGAAAACTTCTTTGCCTTGACAAATGCAATCATGAGGGTTTTTCATGGTTTCCTGTAGAACACAGGAATCATTAAACCTATATTTGTATGTATATATATCTAAATTAACTTCATTTATTTAGTTTTATGGTTTGTGTTATTACATTGATAATATAAAACACTGCCGCAGCAGAGTCAAGTAAGAAACATATAATGCAATTTAATTAAAGTCCCACTCTAAGACAGTTAGAATATTACAACCTTTTTCATTAGACTCGTTTTATGGGCTCATAGGTCAGTAAAAGATCATGTTTCATTTCGAATCAATGCAAACACATCATTGGCTGGTGAACCAACCAACTCGCTACAATGATCTCTTTGACTTTACAGCAGTAAAACCACATGAACGTATCGATCATCACTGAGGGTGCAGCTTGTCTCCTCTGATTGCCCCCGGGAACCTCCTTGCTATGGTAACAACCCCTAATGACCACCACTGTGGCAACAGCTGTAGTCGTAGCAACAGTGGTCTTGTGAAGCTCTTTCACACTGACTAAAAGGATGAGAGGGACGGAGCGGGGGGGGGGGCAGGAAGCTCTCTGTCATTATCCATTTTTTTCTGTCTGTTCCATGGTTCATCTGTCTCTTGCCCACTTCTCCCCTCTGTTCTCATCTGCCCCTGGATGTTACTGCCTTGTTTTCAAGATAATTAACCGCTTAATGTTTGCCTCATGCAAATGGATTTTCAGAGTCATAAATACACACATTGTTTCCATCATCACAATTATCCTTGTCTCTATCTTTCTCC